GGGCAGTGTCACTGGCCCTCATATGTGGGATCCGAACCGGGGCCCTCTGGTGTCCCAAGCCAGTTCTTAACCATCGCACCACTCGGCCGGCCCTGAGGAGCATTTTCAAACAATCACTCTGGCTGGTGGCTAAAGAACAGATTCGAGGGACTAGAGTAGTAGTAGAGAAACGAGTAGTGAGGTGTTTCCAAGAGTTTAAGCAAGAGATATGGGTGCTTGGAACTAAAGTGGTAGAAAGAAAATGAGACATATTTGAGAAATATCCAGAGGATAGAATAAACAACAGTTTAGTCATGATTAGAAGTAGAGGTAAAAAAAAAGTGTCAAGACTTAGGGTTCCAGAGTTAATTAGTAAATCATGGCTCTCCATACTTGAAGCAAGAAATGCAGAAGTGGGCGTGGGGTGGGGGCTGGCAGGAGGATCAGCTTTAGATGCTGAGCAGGGCGCTTTTTAGTGGTATAGGCCATTGGATATACAGGTCCAGCATTCAAAACAAAGGTTTAGGACAGACTGTGAAAGTGTCACTGGCCTGGGAGTCAATGCTGACAGAGAACCTAGAGAGAGGATGCAATGAGCAAGGGGCCTGGGAAGTATGAAGAAAACAGATGAGTTTTTTAAAATCCATTTTGGACAGATTTTGCAGGGCTGAGAGAGCCCATGTTGTGGCAGCAAAGGTGATCCAAGTAAGAGGACCCCAAAGGGAAGTGAAATTCATTAGGAACAGCCCAGGGAAACTTGACTGCTGCCAAGAAATTCTCCATCCAAGGCATAAACCTTGAAGGTTTTTGGTCACATTTTAGTGTTACTTCTCTGAGAGGATCTGCCCTAGGCAGGAGCCACATTTAAGGTCAAGCAGTGAGGAAAGGCCTGGGTCTCCTTTTAATGCCTAACTCTCTCTTTCCAACACTGTCCCCAAGTCATGTCCCTTCAGGTAGAGACCATTCCATCTAAAGGTTTTCCTTGACTGCTGCAGTGTTCCACTGGTGTTTCATTTTTTAAAAATTATTTGACCACAAAAATCCTTTTTTAAAAATAGACTATATAGCAACACCCCTTTGTTATAGAGGTGTTCAAATGTTTTAATATGGTGTGGGCACAGTGACTGTCTATGAGAAGGATCTAATATGTTTCCCTAATTCATCGGTCCCAGAACCCATCCGGAGTGGGGCAATCACATATGCCTGATTTTCCAGGTTAACCAGGGAGTGTACCTGTTTGGAGAGAAGCTCTTTGCACAACTGGTAAAGGGTGATGAACTTTCTGGCTAATAACCGGGCTTCAATGAATCCTTCCGCCACCAGCATGATTTCACAGATCAACTCAAAGTCTGGAACAACCATCGCACAAGGCCTGTATACAGGAAGACAGAGGGCCAAGACAGTTTCTAAACCACACAGTTGAAGGAGAGCTTGTAAGACAAGGGAAACTGGCTGAGATCAGGGATGGAGGCATCTGTGAGTGTGAAACTTAAAACCTTAGCAATGATTTCATCTAAGGCTTTCAATTTTAAGATGAATTAATTAAGGATAAAGGAAGTGAACTCTGTTGCCCAAGATGATGGATGATAGCAGATAGGGGCAGAGTAGGGGCTACAACTCAAGTCTTGTAACTTGAGTCCAGCGTGCCCTACACAAGGCACAGATTAGTAAAGCAAGTTGTCTAAAATTGATCAGGGGCTGAGGGTGAACAACTGAGTCTTTCTTGGTATCTACACGAAACTGAGAATCTCTCTATTCCTCATCCTCAAGACATATGTCTCCTGTAAGCCTAAATACTCATGGCTCATTCTGTACTCACTTGCATACAAATATAAGTATCTAATGCTAAGAGTTAAAGCAAATACTTATTAACCTCACCTTGTCACAAAATGGCATCTATGAGAATATAGAAGAGGATTTTTGTCTATATTATATAAGGATTTACCTTGTTTTTCCCCCCCTCTGGCTCTAGAAACATTTGATTTTAAAATTACTTATTTTTAATTAGTTTATTAGGTATGTAATAGAAGCCTAAGATTGTTACATTTCTTTAACTGCAATTTCCCTACACTGATGCAAAAATTTTAAAAAAGTTTCATTCAAGTATGTTTTTCCTTTATTTTACATTGCAAAATGTAAAATAAAATGATATTACAAATTCAAAGAACAATATTCAAAATGCAAAATTATTCTGCAACATGAAATAAGGTTAGGTATGTATCCACAGAATGTAATTCAATATAGCCATGAAAAACAATGCTGTAGAAGAAAAATCATTTAATGACATGGAAAGACATTAATTAATGAAGGCAGGATACTAAACTATTTAGGGTCTGATACCAAGCTTGAAAGAAAAATATTCTGCCCAGAAAACATTGGAAAGAAGAACGTTAAATGGTTATGCTGATAGTCTTTGGATGATAGGACTGGGATGGGAGAAGCAGAGAGTCTAGAGTCAGACTACCTGGGTTTAAACTCTAGCTCTGCTATTAATTTGTTGGGTGATAGCTAATCCTAGTAACTAGTGTTACTACCCTGGGCAATTTGCTGAATCCATCTGTTTTCTCACTATACAAGAGGGATACTAATAGTATCTACCTCAAAGCGTTTTTGTGAGAATTAAATCTAAAAGTAGATGTTTGTATTTGCTGCTTTTAAAAGTATTTTTGTTTTCTTCCCCTAAATTTTCTTCTATGGATATGTCATCTTTAAATTCAGGGAAAAAAATATAAGAAACAATTTTTATCAGGGTGATAGCCCACCTCCATTATCTTCTGTAACACAAATACTTTGTATAAATAAATAGAAAGCAACACAGTATTCTATGGCACCAGCTTAGACAGCCTATTGAAATTCCAACAAGCTCTTGGCTAAAGTGGGGACCTGCCTGAAGGAGGGGATACCATGCCACTCCCATGATACAGGAATTTGCCACCAATGGAACAGGTTATACACGAGGGACTTGAGTACATGGGGACTTTCCAGTGGCCTCCTAGGCCTCCAAGTCCCCAGAGGGCAGTATGTGTCTCAGTCCAAAGATGAGGCAGCTCTGTCATAGCTCCCACCAGCCTATCTCTCTGAGGTAACAGTTCAGTAGGTGGAAAATCAGAAGCCATGAAGCATCTTTCAGTTTTCTCTTTGTTGGGCTGACTTCTGTTTTCTGAAACAAGAATGGAGATTCTAGCCCCTGCTAGGAAATGCACTTGCGTTTTCTTATCAAAATAAAGATTTTAAAACATGGCAATATTCATGGTTGGCAAAAGGTAAGATAACAGAGGCACTCATGCACTGCTACTAGGAGTGTAATTCGGCACTACTCCTTTTAAAAAGCGATTTGGCAATGTGTATCTAGAACCTTAAAAACGCTGCTCCCTGTTAACTCAGATTCCACTTCTGGGAAGCTAGCCAAAGAAAATAATCATGCATACAGAAAAAAAAAAAAAAGGACTTACATACAAAAATATGTATTATAGCATTATGCATGAATTTATGTCAAATGTTAGGAATAGTCTTAATATTTAACTATGGGGGACTAGTTAATTTCACTGTGGACCTTGCACTTGAAAGAATAAAACGCAGTCATGAAATGACATTTATTAAGAATATCTAACAGAAGAAACTACTTGTGATACCATTATGATAGAGTAGGATATGAAAAATCAAAACAATATAAAAGTGTGTGTGGACCACAAATGTACATTCCAAATGTATGACTTTCAAATATGCATATAAAGAACAGAGCGCAATTAAGCAAAAAGTCCTTTTACTGGTGATGGCATTGAAAGTGGTTTTTAAAATCTACTTTTCAGCATGTCCCAAATTTCCTCTAACATTTAGGTCATGTCGCTCCAGTGAGGAAAAGGAAAGAAGTGTCTCTTTGGGGCTGCCGCTCACCTGAAAAGGGCCTTGAGGTTCTCCGGCAGCTCCGTGCGGCCGGCATAGCCTGGGTTCATGGTGATAAAGATCCCCACAGAGGGGTTCAGGCTAATCTCCTCCCCCAGGAAGTTGAACCGCAGCTTCTTATCTCGAATTGCATCTTGAATGCTTTTTACCTGGTGAATAACAAGTCAATGGAAATAGCCTCCACTGCATTTCAGTGTCCAGCCGGTTGCCAAAGGTGGGAGCCCACACACAACACAAACACTTGTCCCAGAGCCCCTTTCCCTGGAGGACAGGCACAGCGGTGGCCAGCTGGGCTGTTTACTGGTAGGTGTGGGGTGCCTGTCTCAGAGAAATCTGGCCATGCATATCCACATTTATAACACAGGGGAGAGGTTGGGAGGGAGCAACAAACAGGTGTTTAACTCTCTCTGGGCATCAGTGCCCTGCGTTGTAACAGAGTATTAGCCCAGACCCTGTGCTGGGCATTGTTCTCAGCACTTTATGCATTAACTCATTTGACCCTTACCCTGATCAGCTGAGGGGGGCACTTTAATACCATCACCCCCATTTCTCTATGATGAAACGGAAGCACTGAGAGGTGGAGTAGTTTGCCCAGCCTCACACAGCTAGCTACCAAGTGGTGGCGTCTGTATTTGAATCAGGCAAATGGATTCTGGGGCCTGGGCTCTTAGCCACCGGGTGATGGAAAGAAGATGGGTATGTAACTCCAGAGCTTGCTCTAGGATTAAATAGAGTCACAAGGAGTTGAGCATACAGAAAATGCTTAAAAATAGCAGCTGACATGGAAATTGTTAACATGCCCTTCGTCACTGCAGCTGTGATCCCCATCTTGGTTTAACTTCTCACAGCCCCTCGCCTGTCTACGCCTCCAGAGCAGGCTGCGCTAAGCCCAGGTGGCCCCTGTATAGATGGAGTGTCCTATACGGTAAAAGGGGGTTAAGAGCCACAGCGGCAAAGGGGCCGGATTTCTGAGAGCTATCAGTGCTTTTCAACAGAGATTAGGCTTTTTCTTAAATGTGGTCTGGAGCCACATCTGAAGCTTGACCTGGTCAGATCTCTACTCTAGATTACTCTTACTAGTAGTAGGTGAGGAGGGACAGAAATAAAATTCATCCATTTATTGCCACACCTGGTGCTTTGAAAAAACTGCAAAAAAAATCAGCCACAAAAGGAACACACTTGTTCAGCCAGGCCCGGGAATGTCTCTGAGTATTTCCAGCCTCCCAGGGGTCTTGAAAGCAACACCTGAAAGATGGAGACAGACCAAGGTTTTTTGAATGAGCCCCAAGCCTGTCAGCTATGTTCACGGTGTCAGAACAGCCAAGGGTTCAGTGGAGCTTTGGTTGTAGGTAGGGTGTGTGTGTGTGTGTGTGTGTGTGTGTGTGTGTGTCAGAGAGAGAGAGAGAGAGAGAGAGAGAAGAGAAGAGAGAGACAGAGAAAGAGTGAGAGAGAGAGAGAGAGAGGAGGCAGCTGGACCATCTCATACTGGGCAGGACTCTCGCCAGTGCCTGGAAGGGCAGTGTTTCAGAACCCGTGACAGTTCTACAATTAGGATTCAGCTTCTTTCCCAAAGTGAAGCTCTAATGACTGAATGCATTTGAGCTCGCAGCAATTAGTTTGAAACTGAAACGTCTTTTCTACGTGCAGAATACCAATGCCTTTCTGGCAGAGGCTGTCTCCAGCACCCAGCACACTGGCCAAACAGATTAAGCTCTGCTGGTTCCCGAGGTGCTCACAGCTCGGCTCCGCCACAGAGCCTCTCACCACCCTGCAAGCTACATGAGTGCTAAAGGATAGATTCGCTCCTTCAGCCCCAGTCCTCCCATCTATAAAAGACACTGATGCTCACCTTGTTATGTATGTGTGGGGGGAAAGGGGGGGGTGAGCTTAATTACCATTTACACGTTGCTCTGATGCCTCTGGGTGGAGATAGAAGCAAGAGCCCAGGACCTTTTCTGCTGTTCGCTGTGACTCAGCATTCCCTCCGGCAACACCGAGGCCCAGAAACTTCACTCTCAGGGGAATGATGATGCACTGTAGGATCGGTGGCACCTGTGCTTTTGGGTCAATTCTGTAGGGGGGCTCTTGAGAGAGAGTGTGGAACAGACTCGAGGATGCAGTTAATGGTGGAGCATCAGTGCCAATGACAGGCTCTGTCACCTGGCTTCTATAGGACAGGAGGCCTCTGCTGGCATTTCCTCACTGCCTTCGCAGCAGCTGAGGTCCATGGAACAAGCCAGTACAAGGTAACAGGGTCAGGATCCAGGAGGCCCTGATCAAGTCCAGGGGCCCTCCAGGATGCAGGGGGAGAAACACGGGGACTGGAATCACGTGGATTAAACTGCGAGTCCAGCCAGGTGGAGGTGCACACACAGGTAGGCACAGGCCGATATCTAAGGCTGCTGGGTATACTCCTCACTCATGGAGGTCTGTTTCTCCACCAGAGGCTCATCATTTGTGGAGATTTTAAAGCCACAGGGAATAACAACAAAATAATAACTGACATTTACGGAGCGCTTGATATGTACCAGGTGCTGTTCTGAGTATTTTACATGAACGATCCAATGCAGTCCTCTCAACAGCTGTATCAGACGGGTGAGTCCTCATTTTATAGATGAGGAAACGGAGGCAGAAGGCAGGTAGGAAGCAGCCATGTGAGATGTTGACATGAGGGAGGCCAAGGGAAGGATATGTGGGAACTCTCTGTACTAAGTATTTTTGCAACTTTTCTCTGATTCTACAATTTGTTCACAATAAAAAGTTGGAAGAAAAAAAGAAGACATTTTCCAGATGTCTCACAGTTGGTAAGTGGGCAACCTGAGTTAAAAACCAGGCCACCTGGTGCCAAGACAAAGCACACACTTTTAGCTACTTCCCCAAACTGCCTTCCACCAGAAGGAGCAGTGATGCCAGCTCCTCATCAAGTACACAATATTTGGAGTTATTTGTTTTGCTCTGAAAATAATCAAGTTTGTTACAATTTAGAGGCTTAAGTGTCCACAAAATAAGAAAAGGTGCTTCTGCCACCATGAAAGAAAAACATAAATGGAAAGCTATGTAGAAGCTGGTATTCTCAACTGGGGGTGATTTTGAACCTGTCCTCACAAGGGGTCATTGGGCCATGTGCTGAGATAGTTTTGTTCATACAACTAGTGGGAGGTTGCTGCTGGCATCTCGTGGGTAGAGGCCAGGGATGCTGCTAAACATCCTACAATGCACAGGACAGATCCTCAAACCAGGAATTATCAGGCCCAAGACGTTCATACAGCCAAGGGTGAGAAACTGATGTGGACCAGACATTTTACCAGTGAGGAAACTGAGGCCAAGAAGATGTGACTTGCCCCTCATTCCACAGCTTGTGTCCCTGGATCCCACCAAATTCCCATGGAAATTCCTAGCCCCACCCCAGATTGACCACATCAAAAATTCTGGGGGTGGTATCTAACAAGGCTTGTTTTAACAAGCCCTCCAGGTGATTCCGATGCATGCTCAAGTTCAAGAACCACAGCAGTCCAGTCAATTCTTAGATTTCTACTCATACTCACTCCTGCACAGATGTCCCATTCATAGCTGCAGACTGACCTCCTCCCTCTCTCAGATGAGCCTGGGTTCTTCATTCCCTTCTGCCCACCTGCCCTGGAGAGAACTTGTCCCTGCAGCACACTCACCTGGACCAGCCAGGCTCCATCTTGTGGGTCTTGATGTGAAGCCAAGCTCCACAGTCCCTGAGATGTTTTCCTTACCTCACGGTGTCCCTTGCAGTTCTGGTTCTCAAAGTTTACAGAACACGAGAACCATGTGGGAAGGTCCTATCTATCTATCTATCTATCTATCTATCTATCTATCTATCTATCTATCTATCTATCTATTTTCATGTATTTATAAAACTCAATGCCCAGATCCTGCCCCAGACCAATAAGATCAGCATCTCTGGAGGTGGAGACTGCATTGTGCATTACTGTTTTTCAGATTGCCCAGAGCTTTAGCATGCAGCCAAGACTGAGGTTACTGTGCCAGAGCAGCACGTCTCCAACTTTATTGTGCATATGAATCACTGGGATCTTGTGAAAATGCAGATCCTATTTCAGCAGGTCTGGGATGGGTCTGAGAGTGCGCATTTCTAACAAGCTCCCAGGAATGCTGACACTGCTGGTCCAAAGTTTGAGTATCATGGAGCTAGATGACACTGTTAGACTGTGCACTCTCAGGATACCTGGTAGCCAGTTAAGTGTCCTTGCCACTGGAACACACTGTTCCACACCAGTTTCATGACCCACCATGGCCCCAACCAAATGGGTTCACTTTCTCTTTCCAGCCTCTATGGCCTTTAACTGCACCTCTATAATGGAACTTACTGTCTGCCTTATATTTTAGATATATAAGAGGTCGTACAATTAAATTCGCAAACTCATCCTAGAAAAAGTGCTACACACCTCATTGCTGAATATCACTACAGTCACCTTCGAAGTACTCCCCTTGGGAAGCTGTGCACTGACCCCAGCACCTAGGCCTCCCTTCAAAGCAATTTTGGAACTCTTTTTCTGGAATGGCCATCAAAGCTGTCATTGTATTACCCTTGATGTCCTGAATATCATCAAAATGTCTTCCTTTCAATATTTCCTTTATCTTCAGGTAAAGAAAGAAGTCATTGGGATTAGATCAGCTGAGTAGGGAGGATGTTCCAATACAGTTATTTGTTTAGTGGCTAGAAACCCCCTCACAGACAGTGCCATGTGAGCTGGTGCATTGTTGTGATGCAAGAGCCATGAATTGTTGACAAAAAGTTCAGGTCATTTTCGTCTAACTTTTTCATGCAGCCTTTTCAGCACTTTCAAATAGTAAACTTGGTTAACTGTTTGTCCAGTTGGTACAAATTCATAATGAATAATCCCTCTGATATCAAAAAAGTTTAGCAACAGCATTGCAACAAGTTCTCAAACTTAATTGTCAGACCTCATATATAGGTTTTAATTCTCTTTATTGCAGGCCAGCCCTGATTTCAATGATCAGTCCTATTTGCACAAGCCATGTGTGACTGTCTCACAATGGGGACTTGATTTGATATCTTAGCAAAGGTATCCTTCCCTTTAAAGACTAGAAGCTGGTGATTACGGAGGGTTCCACGCCTATATCCTCCCACCCAGGCCAG